AAGCAGAGTTTAAGGTTTCATTTTCTACTAAGAATCTAAAGTACACTTACTCTGTGTTGCTAATAATGGCCCATCCATACGCTCTGATGATAAATTTGGCAGAGTAAATTCATTAATTGCCCTTCCTAGCTGTTAACATTAATTCATTTTCATAATTATTATTGAAAACAGAATATTAAGACTGTTAGGATAATTACATCTGTGAAAGCTAGAAAGAACCAGAAATTTTCAGTGACAAAAGTATATGTTAGGAAAACAAATGGATTAACTCACCTCAAAATAAGATATAAAAAAGAAAAAAAATCTTTGCTGGAGTTTTAAAATATCATAGAATGCCATCTGAATAAAGCATCACTGAAAAATCATGTTTGTATTTTATGAAAAATGAATAGCTAGCTTCACAATGCTTTTCTTTGAATGTGAAAAAAATATGGGTATACGTACTGTCATTCAATCAGAACTAGAAAAACCAAGAAGCTGTAAATTAAATTTTTCACTTTAAGGAAAAGGCTTTACTATTTGTGCATTCAGATCTACAATTTATATTGTCTAATGCCAAAAAAGAAAACTATAAATAAGATAACTGAATAATTTATTGTCCAAATTGAGACACTTTCAAAATTGAATTAATCACTACCAATAAGAAAGCTGGGAAAATTGGCACGAACCCATACTAACATGGGCAAATTGGAATGCCTGGTCAGCATATTTGTAAATGTCTCCAAAAGGCACACACCTAATGCAGAATTGCCTTTCCCACAAATCAACTCCTCTCTTCAAGCTGGTTAACCAGGAGAGTGCCACGTGCCAAACCTGTGGAGATTAGTGTGGCTACCTATTCTCATTGCCTGATGAGACACAAAAAATTTCAGTAATTTTTATATCTGGAACTAAAAATAATTCACGATTAAAAAGCCATATAAATTCCAACCAAGCCCTCCCCCCCCCATTTTAGAAACAGATAAATAAAGCCATTAGTGAAATCCCTAAATCATGTTTTCTCTGTCAATGTTGTAAACTTTTCAAGCCTGCTGTCCCGTAGTTTCATGAAGACTTGCAGACTGCCTCAGTTAGCAACACCAGTAAGAAACCAATGCAATAAAAGAATTTCATTGGTTTACTTTGTAGCTTATTTATCCTCTACTTTCTCAAAATATTTTGCAGTTTATTTTTACTTTATCTGAAATTCATCAGCTTTTGCTGCTGAATTTTTTTTAATGAAAAGCACATTTTCCTTCTCCCACAGTTCTATTACAGCAGCATAATAATAAATAATAATTTTTAGAAATATTTGGAAGTGATATACTTCGGAATATAACAAATACTCTTATTTCAGTATATTTTTATTTATTTTTCTAACAAAAACTTTAAGTGCTTTATAATATTAACTCATTTAATTGTCACAACAAGCCTATGCATTAGATACAATTATTAGCTCCATTTTCAGAGAAGTAAACTAAGGTACAAGTATACCCAAGATCACTCTGATACTCTGTGGTAGAACTGCCATTTGAACCCAGGCAACCTGGCCTTACGTTGTGTGGTCTCGACCACTAGCCTTTCCTGTCTCGTATGTGATCTTCAGTAACTACCTGTCTGTGAGTATTATAAGTCCCCCATAGCATCCTATCTTTCAAAAATAAGAAAACTAAGGCTGAGAGATATAACTTGTTCCGTGTTCCACCTATATAAACCCTCTTTTCCTGAGGGTTTAACTACTTTAATTTAGTGCTATGGTGTGACATAATTGGTTTAAATATTCTCCAGTTATTGGCCAAAATATATTAAGTTATTTTTCATATATGAGTGCACAGGTGAGTGTGTCAAGCACAATGTTAAATAATAGCAATCACAGCGAATATCTTAGTCTTATCCTTGACATTCATATGAACAAATCTAGTAGGTCACTTGTGAATTTATCTAAATCTTACTTGTTAAGGTTTTCTGCATTCCTTTAAGTCAATTTTCATCATTTATATTTTCTTAGAACACCACTCATTACATTTATATTTTCAAATATATTAGCATGTAGTTGTAAATTGATTCTTTTATAATGACTTTACAATTATTTTCTTACAGTTATATTCCCTTTTCTCTTCCAAATTTTGTAACTTATAAACTTTTTCTCATTTTTTTTCCATTATATTACCCACTCTATAAATAGTTAATGTATTATTTTTATATTACCCAAAGAAACAATTTTAGGATTTATCAGTTTTAGGCTTTTTATAGTCTAATGTATTACTACTTTTATTTTTCTTAATAAATTTTCTATTTAGCTTTTCTCTCATTTTTTGAGAACTTTTTAAAATTATTCCCAGAAGCTTACCACTGTGTGCTACTCTAGTGCATCCTAAAACAATTCTCCTCTTCCACCCTCCTCTCTGCCGCTCTCTCCTTCACTTGCCAAAGCCTCACACTGGTCGGCTTGCTCTCTTAACACAGCCACCCAATTCTTATCCCACAGCCTTTGCGGTCCTCTCTACTAGAGTACACTGCTTTTATGAACACTTCCTTCACATTATGCAGGTCTCATTTCAAAGGCTGCCTTCTTGGAAAAGCCTTCCCTGCCCACTCCAGCTGAAGGATCCACTCCCCACCTGACTCCCAGTCACATTGCAGTGCCTTTATGTCATTTTATTTTCTTTATAGTAGATATCACCATTTGATATTATATTTTAATTTGTTGGTTTGCATATTTATTGTCAGTCTCCTTGAACCAATCTTTAAGTTATATTTGAAAGAATATATATCTGCCTGTTTACACGTGTTGCCAACACCCAACACAATGGCTAGTGCTTACAAATAGGTTCATTAATTTCCTCCTTGTACTTATATTTCAAGGCATGTTATTTTTTTTTTTTTTTCCTTTTTGTCTTTTTTTTTTACTGACCGGTAACAGGATCGCAACCCTCGGTGTTGCGCCCACACCACGCTCAACCAGTGAGCGGGAACCGGTCTCCACATGGGATCCGAACCCTTGGCGGGAGCGCCGCCACGCTCCCAGACGGCGCACTCTCCAGTGCGCCGCTGGGCCGGCCCTCAAGGCATGTTTTAATTCCCAAATGATTTCAGATTTTACCCATTAATTTTGTTATTTTAAATAAAATTATTATATACTTTTAAAATAACTGTTTATGAATTTAATAAATATCAAAATAAAGTATTAAACATGGTCTTAGTTTTTCTTTTAATATTTAAGCCCATTTTCAATCATTCATGCAGCATATTTTATTGAGCACTTAATATATGTATTGGGATATACCAATGAAAAAAACAAATGCTTTTGTGTGCTCTTCCTTTAATGAGGTATTTCTTTAGTTATTACCTTTATTACAAAAGTAGAATATCCTTGAGTTCTCTCTAATGAAAGGATGCCCTTTAGGCTTTTAAGTTGTAATTTAGAAGGTCAGATCATGTAGGTTCTATTTACAAATGCGATTGTTGAACAAGCTGAGAAGAGAAGGAAGACTCCAGAAAGTAGGGGCAACCCAACAAAAGAACTTTTACATTTCCCTATATATTTCCTATGTTTGTTTAAATAACTGAAGTTAGGGCCACCTTTGCCTGTCTCTAGTCTGGTGTGCTGATATGGCTGTGTCCAGCCTTATTCCTGGTATTCCTGCCTACTGAGCTGGAGAAGGAAGGAAACACTCAAGAGCCAGGATGGGTCTCTGGATTGCTCACATCCATAAAAAACGAAATCATATCAATACTGCATGTCCTCACTCATAAGTGGGAGTTAAGAGAGAAAAAAGGAAAGAAAGAAATACCATAGTGGTACATTGGACTTGCAGAGGGAGAGAGCACACCTAGGGCTACAAAGTGGAGTGGGGGGAGGGGGATGGGGAAGGAGGTTGGGGGTAATTGGGGGAATAATTGGGTGGGTGACACAGGGTATTCACAGTCCCTGGTAATGGGCATGCTGCCAGTATGGATCTGGCCCTCACATCTTGGGCATGAGTGGTGACAATCAGCTTTGTACCCCATGAACATTCATAAATTAAAAAAAAAAAGCTAAAGCATAGAAAGCCCCTTGTCTCTCCTGGATGAATTCTAACCATACCCTGCCTCTTCTGACAGCTGTCACTATGAGGTAATGAAAGGCCCCTGTGCATCTCTTCACAGCCCATCCCAACAAGAGACCTCAAATTAGAGGTAAGTGTTATGCTCCTTAAAACATCCATTACTGATCAAGCTTCTTCACCAAATTTTCTGAAAAGAAAAAATCAGGGCTCGATATCATACTTCTGTCAAGTGCACCTACTATATGCCTATCAGAACTTTCCACCAAGTTTGAGTTTTGTGGTGGAATTATTCCTTGGTGGAATGTATTTTTTCCTAAATTTGTTAAATGTATTTAATTCTGTTTCCATTAAAAGCCTTTGAAGGGGGCTGGCCTGGTGGCGCACTGGAGAGTGCGCCGCCTTGGAGCGCGGCGGCGCTTCCGCCAAGGGTTCGGATCCCATGTGGAGACCGGTTCCTGCTCACTGGCTGAGCGCGGTGCAGGCGCAACACCAAGGGTTGTGATCCTGTTGCCGTTCCCCGGTACGGGCGCGACACTGAGGGTTATGATCCCGTTACCGGTCAGTAAAAAAGACAAAAAGGANAGGGTTCGGATCCCATGTGGAGACCGGTTCCCGCTCACTGGCTGAGCACGGTGCAGGCGCAACACCAAGGGTTGTGATCCTGTTGCCGTTCCCCGGTACGGGCGCGACACTGAGGGTTATGATCCCGTTAACGGTCAGTAAAAAAGACAAAAAGGAAAAAAAAAAAAAAAGCCTTTGAAGGGCCTGTTTTCAAGCCACCTCTAGAGGTCAACCCTCTTATCTTTAAGCAAAAGAAAGTCAATGTTAAATTTTAAAAATAGTATTCTCAATTGTGAGTCATTCATACTCACTGAACATAGACATTCCTTTATCCAGAGAGAAAAATGATGAGTGTGCTTTCTGACAATGGAAGGACCAATTTATTGCCTATTGCCCAGTGTTTTACCTTACCTGAGCTACACTTATTGCATTTTGGATTCGTGCATCTGTCTCATAATCCTTTATTTTCTGTAATGTTTGCCATATTGTGTTTCTAAGTCCATCCTCTTCCCCGTTTCCTTGAAGTTCCCATGACATTTTTACCAGGTTATGCACTAAGCCATAGTATCCAGTCCAGACCACTTGATCACCTGTTTAAAAAGAAACATTAGGGGGAATGTATAATTTTGTTCACCTTACTATAGTTGTGAGAAAAATAAGAAACCCAATTTTACCAAAATTCATAATAATATTTTAAAGTCTAAAATTCTAAGCTCTGGAAATGTCTTTCCCTTCACTGATTCTACTCCTTTAATCTTAAAAATCACAGATCATTTAAAAATTTTTAACCACATGAAAAGATAAACTGCACCTAATATACCTCATAAATTTAAAAGTTAAATGGGTAAACTGTGAACTACATACTAAAAACAAATCCTTAGAATTCAGATAAAAAGGAATTTGTTCAAGGCAACATGAATACTTAGGCCTCAATGATGACCCTTTAAATACATCAAAGGAACAGGAGAAAAATCTCTTGCAGTTATAAAAAAAATAAAAGATATAAAACCCTATGAAACATGGTATTTGAACCAAGAAGAAAACTTTTAAAATAATGTCAAAAACAGACAAAAATTACTGATATAATTATAGGCTAGAGAATTTTTTTAAATAACAGGGACATACATTAATTGGAATAAGAGAAAGGGAGTAATGAATGCTGAGAAGATAAAAAATATCTAAGGCACTTTTCCTTCTAAAACTTATACAGCAATTAGCGATTTGTATGCATTATCAAGCTGTACTTTCAAGGTATGCATTTCCCTTTCAGAAAGGAAGAAGTTCTATTTCCTCTCTCTCTCTCAATTTTTTTCTTACCAAGCTATGGTATAAAACAATACAGTCCTCAAAGGGGAAATAAACTTAAGTTAATCAAAGAGCAACATGAAGATACTGAGTATCTGTGGTGCAGATGAGAAGAACAAGAGGAAGAGGAAGTTCAGAAGAGGAGGTGGAAGTGTTTAAGCCTCTGAAATCCCATATAGCACTTTCCCCCCAAATCCTGGCAACAGCCCACATAACATTGAAAATCATCAATGCCCTTCTTGAATAAAGATATAAGCACAATCTGACAAAATCACAATTCTCAACTTTCCCTAATTTGATCTAGTGTATTATAATGCAGGCTAATAATAATAATCACTTCTATTATAATTAGCATATATAGTAGTAACAACTATGTGCCACAATTCTAGTCCTCACTGCAGCCCTGCTATGTAGATCTTATTACATGAAGAATACCTGAAGGGAACATTTGAACCTGATCTCTGTTAGAAAATTTCCTAACATCATGCAGCTGACGAGTGCTAGATCAGGGAAAGGCTAGCCTAATCTTGCTCCCGGCAGCACAGCCTCTCCATTTCAGATGAATACTTTTCTTTCCAATCCCCACCTTCCATTTCATTCACAGGAAAGGAAGAGACTGGAAGGTAGAAAAATGAAGCAGAAGAGAAGGCATGTACACATTTTGGAAATGGGAGAGAGAAGGTACACGAGTATGTCTAGCTTCCAGTCTTAAGGTACCATCTACCCTTTCTATTGTTGGTACTTTAGGGAAAAAAAAGTAAAAAATGCAAATATGAAGCTACAGGTAAGCAGCTAGTTTTTTTCAGGAAATGTCATTTCCCCCTCGTAGCAACTTTACTAGTTAAAATTGGGGTACTGCAATATTTGAAATTATATATAAATAAAAAACAAGCCTTTTTTTTTTTTTTAATTTTATTTTTTGTCTTTTGTCTTTTTCCGTGTCCGGCAATGGATCGCAACCCTCAGTGTTGCCCCCGTACCGGACCGGGGACCGGCAACGGGATCGCAACCCTCGGCGTTGCTCCCGCGCCTCGCTCAGCCAGTGAGCGGGAACTGGTCTGTATGTGGGATCCGAACCCTCGGGCGGGAGCGCCGCCGCGCTTCCCAAGCGGTGCACTTATCCAGTGCGCCACCGGGCCGGCCCAAAAACAAGCCTTTTTGAATGAATGATAATTAATATCTTTTCAATAAAATTTTGGAATATTATCTCTTTTTTTTGAATATTTGAGTCATTTATTTGCATCTCTCCACCACTTCAATATGCCCACGTTGACAAAGTCTAAGAGTCAAATCAGCGATGTAATACTGACATACATTCCATACCATACAGGATTTAACCCAAGGATTTAATTCTTTTTTTTTTTTTTTAGTCCTTTAAATATACTAAATCGAAGATCACTTGCATAAGTAAAGTTCTCCCAACTGGAAAATTAATTACAAAATCTCGGTCCTTAATTAGAGGCCTAAAAATGGCCCAGTGGAATATAATCTTGAAGCAAAAATTTAAT